AGTAGTGTTCTTTTTTTTTTTCTTTTTTTTTTTTTTCTTAAATTGAGCAAAATAATCTGGTCACTGTATATGATTATTTTTTTCTGATCTTTTCTCTTCAGCTACGGTGATCATTATGAGTGGAATAAGGCAGTCACTTGCATCCACAATGTGTTCAGTCAGCAGAGATCGCTCGAGCACTACGGTGACGTCGTCATTCGTAACCTCAACAACGATGAGTGCACCTGCAAGATCACATTTGTCAAAGTGAGTTTGTTGTTTTTGTGTTCTTTTCACCTAAAAAGAGTAGTTCTCCCATAATTGAAAATTCAGTCATTATTTACTCACCCTGATGATGTTTTAATGCTTTCTTTTTCAGACCACAAAAGGGTTCAAGTGTTAAAAGAAATGCAGAAGTATCAAAGAATGATCGTATATGACTCGTGCCATAAGTGTTCTGATGGCATCCTATAGGATTTGGTTTAAAAAAATAAGCAAAATAAATGAATAGTGTTTTACTTTGTGAAAATCCTGACCTTGGCTATTGGTCAGTTGGTCCACGCTATTGGCACAGCACACAAGTGCACACAGTTTTGAGTAGTCAAGATTAATCTAAACAATACATAAAACACAACACCCCAAAAAAAAAAAAAAGTATTTACATTTATGTATATAATAGGGGTTGCACCGACTAGTCGACTTCAATGCTCTGCCATGACGCTTGACGTCGACTAGTCTCTGGTCCTATAGAGGGCGCAACAGGATAATAAATCTTTGAAGAACTTCCACTTTTACGCTCCGTTTCCAAACAGTTCAAATGACAAATAAATGCATACTCTGAAAGCGCTCCACAAGACATGTGAGATTATAGAATCTCAGACACAGAATCATTCAGCGTGGAAATGTATTGTAAACACTGTTCTGTGATTTCTCAGTAAAATAGCTTAGAAACTGAAAGGTTCAAGCATATATTTCTTAAAAACTAAATCCCACAGCTTCACTACTAGTAGAGAGACGCTGCCAGGTAGAATTAATTCACACATGCAGTCACTCTCACTAATGAATTCATATGAATGTAATCTTTACTGTGCTACTTTATCTGTATCTGATTTAGAACGAGCAGAAATCTGTGAGAACCCAAAGACAAAAGAACTGATAAAAATTAGCTGTTATAGGAGCAATAGCCATGTGGGCAGCGCTGTCATATGCCATAGCTGTGCACAAGGTGTTTGTCACAGCTCCAGACTTATTTGTTCATTAATGACGTCATCACATAAAAGTCGACTTTAAAAAATCAGAAGTCGTTCAAACCTCTAGTATATAATGTTTCTTTCTTCTCTAAGGTGAATATCTCCAGACTAGAATTCTAGTTTTCAGTTGACAAATGTGAATGAGAACTTTTCATTTCTCAGACTGTTTAAATCAAATGATTAAATCAAGATGAAATTATTTTCATTTCTGCTGCGCTATAATAGTCTCATGAACACCCAGTCATTTATAGCAGATCGGCCAAGGTCAGGATTTTTGCTAAATAATAAATATAAATTACATATTTTTTTTTTTTTTTTTTTTTTTTTTTTTTTTTTTTTTTTTTTGCGCCAAACCTATTGTGTGCCTTCAGAAGACTTGGGTAATTTATATTAGGGGTGTAACAATACACGTATTCGTACCGAAAATTTTAGTAATTTTTCCCCCTGCTGTACCAAACTGTGACGTCAAAAGAGAGGTACGTACCGAACCGGTATGTTTGCGTATCTAATACATACTTGATCAGAAAACACCAGGGTGAGTGAACAATGACTGAAATTTGAGTGAACGATCCCTTTAAACATTCATCAAAGTGTTTCCACTTTTTTTTTATTTAAAAAAAAGTTTCAACTAATGTTTGTCAAATATTAGATGTAAGATCCAAGTGTGTATTCCTCATCTTAATTACCTGAATAGCTCTGTGGATGTTTTTTTAGTCTGTTCAAGAGGCATGTCTGAACTGCTCATGCAACTTGATTTAGGTTTTATTTTTTCTTTTGTAGTCATGATCTGTGTCACAGTTGCAATTTCATCTTCACTGCATAAAGATCTGTCTTGTGAAAAGTGTAGAGACCTTGAATAGCATTGCTGTAGAAGAGTAATTAGCTGGTGAAATGGATTTACCTGTTGTAGAGTTAACAAAAGTTATGTGCATTGTGATGTTTGAAGCAGATGTCATAATTGTCAATAGACTGGTACGATTTTCAAATGAGCAGTTCATAAATTCATAAAAATTAACATACCAAAAGAAAAGTTTATTAGAAACCAGAATATTAGAATATTGAGATGTCTTTTATACTTACAACATTCATTTTCCAAAGTTTGCATGTTTGTATCGCAAAGGCTGATTTTTTTTATTTATTTTTTTTATTGCAGTTTTCAATTAAATACAGTTAGGTCCATATATATATATATATATATATATATATATATATAATACACAGCCCCTCCATTTTCAGAGGCTCAAATGTAATTGGACAAATAAATATAATCATAAATAAAATGTTCATTTTTAATATTTAGTTGAGAATCCTTTGAAGGCAATGACTGCTTTAAGTCTGGAACTCATCAGCAGAGACTGGGTTTCCTCCTTTGTGATGCTTTGCGTAAATCAAAATCAAAGCGTAAATACACGTAGAACATCCTTGTGTCCATATCCCAGGGACATTTTTACCCAGAATTGGTCCTGTTATTAAAAAGTGCTCACTTTGGTTGACGTTTTCATTCAAAGTTTTAGATGAAGAGGCAACATCTGTTATGGTTGGCATCCTCTCTGATTGGGGTGGGGGACGGAGCGGGCGCAATAATCATATTTCCACATCACTTTACTAGGTGTTTTTAGGAAATATTTGCATTTATTCACATGCGATTGGATTAGCCACTCATGTGCTGAACTGTCATGATTTTGGCTAATGCAGGACACTACTGAAAGATGCGCATCAGAGGGAATTTAGAAGTGGGTATACGCAATGCCGTCTGATAAAGAAGTGTATATATACATTGTATACCTGCGTATACCCTGCATTACATCACTGCTTGCTGCTGACGGAGAAGGCTACACTAAACATGTGGCAGGCAGTGCAAGTGACAAACAGGAGAAAAAGCCATTACTCACCGTGATTGTTGAATGATTCTTAACGATTTAACAGTTATTTGAACTCATGAAAAACGGAGCAAGAGAGAGAAAAGAAAAAGGAGGTGCTAATGACAAGCTGTCCTGTGGACAAAAACACTGACTGGATCTAAACCTTCAGTTGACATGAGGCTCATATCTATGTCTCTGTAGGTTAAGTGACCACACATGAAAATCTGCAACACATGATGGCAGACACACGTTTGTACAGTGTAGAGCGGCTCTTTCGCACTGTATGACGTGACAGATAGCTAGTTGTCCAGTCCTGTTCCATTTACACAGCACAGGTTTTCCAAGAATGCAGTTGTGAGTCCTGAAAATTTGTGGGTGTGAGTTTGGTAATCGAATGCTGTTGCCATTTTATTTTGCACTGGCAATAATAGTTAATAGTTTGTAGCAAATTAGCTCAAAAGGGAAATGTATTGGATTGGTCCAAATGCTACAAGTTATAGGGTTAATGCAGGGAGTTAAAAGCCTGGAAGAGAATACTAGAGTGTTTGTTAGGCTGTTGCACCTGTAATTCAATTGTTCTGTGCTCAGAAATTGAGCCTCTTTTTGTCTGTCGTTCTTCAGACTAAATATTTATATTGAAATATGATAATATTAAGAACTTCTTGCGGTGGGGGGGGGACACAAGTGCTTTTTTTTTCAAAACTATGACCCCTTAGCATATGCTGCAAAAAAGATTGCTGAAGTCAACAGATTTTACTTCCAGACCTACCTATTTTTGTCAAACAACAGCGATGCTGCCTTCTTTCTGAAGTCATTAATTGCCCCCTTGTAATTTGGCTCTGAATCTCAGGCGACTGATCTCACTGCCCAGCAGATCTTTCTTATATAGTGTTAGTCAAATTATTTTCTGTATAGTGAACAAGTGATAGTTAGGCGTTGGAGACATTCTTCATCTATAAAATGTTTGATTGGACAATTTCTCCTTTGTGAGTCATTGTTAAATAGAGAAAATTCAAACCTATTCAAACTGATTACAAGCAGTTGTTTAATTGGGGATGAAACTAAACTCTGTTAGACAGTGGTCCTCCAGGGACAATGTTGCCCATCCCTGCTGTAGACTAAAACAACAACTTTTTAACTTTTATTGTAAAGTTTTTTAAAGGTTTTATTCTTTTATTACGCTTCTTAGGTTTACATAGTTGATTAACCTGACGATCACTACGCCCATCACTGACTTAATGCTATTAGGTTCTTAAAGAGATACTCCACCCAAAAATGCATATTCTACTCACCTCATCACCAGATGTATATCACTTTCATCAGACATGAAGTGTATATAACACCAATGTAATTCTCATTTGTCCAGTCGCGTTACTGGGGTGACGATAGCAACAAGAATGAAGTGCAGGGCACCGTCCTTGACCGCGCTGGCAGAGTGCTTCACCGCTTCGGGGGATCATGGCATGAAGGCATCTTCTGTGATACACTTCCCAACCCACAATGCATTTGGAAGCCCAGTAAGTGACCATGCACACAGTAGTCTTAATCTAATTCAACATCCAACTAAATGTAAATTGGTTGTCTATATCGTAATTCACAGATCCTCAACCAGATGCTTACTTTGACTACTATGGCTTCTCCCAGTATGCCAGAGAGCTCAATGACCTGACACCTGACATAAAGGATAAGTTGCCCCCGACAGACACTCGTTTCCGTCCAGACCAAAGGTATGTGGCCAGTAACTAGAGATAAAACAAGATCTGTTTGACCATTTGCACTGTAATCTGTACTTCCAAACGGTGTTGGGAGGTTACTTTGGAAATGTAATAGGTTACAGATTACAAATGACCCTATTTAATATGTAATAAGTAGTGTAACTATTTCAATTACTTAATGTAACTGATTACATTTGATTAGTTTTTGATTGCTTTTCTAGTGAATGTTTTCAACTGTATCATTTTCAAACATTTAAAGCAGGCAGGGTTAACCTTACAGTAGTACTCAACACTGATTACGGTCAGACAAAATTCTTCATCACTTACATTAAAATTATAAGCACAGCCACCACAAAATCAGACTTTAGCACCTCTTTTTACTTTGAGATCGCTCTGAGGGTAAATACGGATTTAAAATAAGACATAGTTTGAAAGCTATCATACTGTTTTTGAAGTCAAATCTTTATGACAGGCAGCACTGGCATCTAACAATGATTTGGAAAAAAACTGTTAATCTTAAAAAATAAAGCATATACAGTGGGTACGGAAAGTAGGACTCAAATGAAGGTGTAGAACCATCTCAAGGATGATCAGAAGAAATGGACAGCACCTGAGTTAAATATATGAGTGTCACAGCAAAGGGTCTGAATACTTAGGACCATGTGATATTTCAGTTTTTCTTTTTTAATAAATCTGCAAAAATGTCAACAATTCTGTGTTTTTCTGTCAATATGGGGTGCTGTGTGTACATTAATGAGGAAAAAAAATTAACTTAAATGGTTTTAGCAAATGGCTGCAATATAACAAAGAGTGAAAAACTGAAGGGGGTCTGAATACTTTCCGTACCCACTGTACATAAAACCAAATGGGAAATCAAGCAGTTATTAAAGAAGCATGTGCACTATTCTGTGTCCTAAACTCCTGAAACATTGGTGTCTCATATTTTAGAGCAGTCAATGCAATTTGGGAAAGAAATCGATCAAATCTGTATGTGTGTGTGAAAATATTAAAATGTTAATGATTACAAAGGGGGTTACATCTGAATATGTAACTGTAATTTAATTACACATATTTTCTCAGTAACTGTAACAGATTAGTTACATTTATTTTGTAATTAAATTACGTAATTCCGTTACATGTAACTAGTTGCTCCCCAACACTGCTTCCAAAACCTTGGTCAAAACAAAACCCATATAAATTGATATTTTTTTTAAATAAACGAGTTAAATTGATTTCATCACTGATGCAAACTATAAGTTTGCAAGATGTACTGAACACACGTGACATCTAACTACTCTTAACGTTAATGCTAAAGCATCATTGCCAGTAAATAATTTGTAAAGTTTGTGTCAGCATCACTTTTCTCTAACCTGCAATACACATTAGTACAACTGTTAATCAACTGACTTTACGCTATTAGATGCTTAGAGATACTTAACCCAGAAATGCAAATTCTCTCATCTCATCACCAGATGTATATGACTTTCATCATATGTGAAGTGTGATGTTAAGCGTGCTGTGAAATGTTTTGTAACCGTAATAATCCTCAGTTCTTCTGCATCACTTCTCATGTGAATTTCTGACACATACACTTGCATTATATGGATTTACTGCGATTTTCTAAACATTTTTCTTCAGTCTTTGTTTTCATCTAAAGAAAGTCAGTCTATACATCTGGGACAGCATGTGGGTGAGAAAATAAGAATTTTCATTTTTGGGTGGAGTAAAGTTTTACTCATTGTACTTGGTATCTCATTTCAGTTATCAAAGTTTTGTATTTTGCCATTTTGGTCAAATTTACTTGCATGTCATTGTTTTAGTGCCTAGAACATGGCAAGTGAAGATATTGAGCTGGCTGGAAAATGTATTTGAGTTAGCTATTTATTTTCCTTTCAGGCTTCTTGAAAAGGGCAAAGTGGAAGAAGCCGATAAACGCAAGGATGAAATAGAGGAGAAACAACGTGAAAGACGTAAGGCAATGACCAAGAGGGGTGAAGAGCATGTTCCACGTTTCTTTGTGTGAGTCCCAGTATTTATTCCATATTTCTGCTTCTAAAATCTGCTGGCAATATGAAGCAATTAATTCAGATTAATTAAATTAAATTATCCTCAGATTAGTTAAATATGCCAGAGGACCACATATGTTAATGGCATATAATCTGCAGATAACGTATTTAAAAAAAGCCATGAATGTCTGCATATTCAGAGTGAATCAACAGATGATTCATGAACTACAGTAATACCATTAAAGTGGAATTGTAAATACCTTATTTAAAACAATGTACAAATATTTGTCTTCCATCAGAAAAACCTTAGATCACGCTGGAAGAGAGGCGTGGGTGACAAATGGAATTTACTGGAAGATTCGAGAAAATCCAGGATTTGCCAGCACTGAAAATCTGGATTTGTGGTGTTGATGGAATTGAAGTCCTGCGATTTATGATATCCCAGTATTCTGTTAGCGAAACTCGTGAATTTTGGCATGTCAGTATGGTTAGTGTATGTATATAATTATATTTTATATAACGGTTGTGAATTTTAGTATAAACCATAGACTTAAATGGCAATGTAGGAATGGAGTTTCGGTGCTTTTTAATCTAAATTGTGATATTCCTAAAGCCATACCACCCTCATTTTTAGTGATGAACACACATACCTATTTTTAAATCATCAAAAATACTCTCCATATTATGTGTAATGAATAGATGTCTTACAAATATTTTTCCCCCTTTTTTAAAAAGTGTTTTTTTTATTGAAAGATAAGGTCTAATGTCAGGGACTTTGATATACATAATAGAATTTAGTACAGAATGTTTCCCATTTTAATAGACCTGTATGTGTAAATTATGCATGTCTATACTGTTTGCTGTAAGTTATGCTTTTTACCAGATGGATTTAATTATTTCTGCTAGAAAATCTTGCATGATCTCGCTGTATAAAATACTTTGTGCTTTGTGCAAATTAATATAATTAAAATGACATGTTTTTTTGGGGATTTTCAACCAAATCTACTGAAAATATTTTGGTGAAAAGTGTAATTGGGTTATGTGCAATTTCTTGTATGAATGCATTTCCAATCAGATGAGACTTGAATAAATATAAAATTTGAACAAGTTTGCACTTGTTTTTGCCGTCTGAGGGGGAGGAGGAAGGGGAGCTCTGAAAGCATATACTGTAAGGAGGAGTGAATACAGTGGAGGGAGAGAGAGAGGACTAGGCCTTGGGACACTTTGTTTGTGCAGCAGTCGGCAGTGTAGCAGCTGCCACTTGTTTCAGGTTATTTTGTGAATTAAAAGGTTTTTTTGTTTTTTGGCATTTCCCACCTCCTCCTTCCCCAGTTCTTTGAACTTCGTCACAGCTATTGTAAGAAAAAAATGAAGTTGAAGATTTTGATTAAAAAGTTCAATTGCAGCATAGCAGTGACTAATTATGTAGTACCTTGTGTTCAACTGCAGGGGTGTCCCGTTCACTCGTGCTGCTCAGTGCGTGGGAGCCCCAATCACAGAACATTCTAAAAGTCATTCACAAATCACACACAGTGTGGTTTTGCTTATTAAAAAAATGCAAGATGTGGCAGTGACATTTAAAAAAAAAAAGAAAAGTTTTGAACTTTTGAGTTGAGTACGTTTTTAGAATGCTGTCATACTCGAGACCCTATAAAAGATGTGTGGAAAAGCATGTGAAATACTCTTAACATGGTTTAACATTCTAAAACAACAACCTAGATTTTTTTTCTTCTCTCATTTCACTTATCGTAAACACTATACTAAAACAACGGCACCGTAATCGAAGTGGATATTTTTATGCTTAACGTGGCTTTAAGACAGTGATATCAAAAATCTAACTCTGCAAGAGCCCAGAATATGAACTCAATGTGCAAAATTTTAAGTTAAGCGTTTACCTCCCAATGTGAAAAGTGGTGATGTGCAATTGTTGTTAAAGAGCTATTTCTTCCTGTTCTTTTCTACAATTAGTGATGCTTATGTAGGCCATTGTTTGAACCGAGACGTGTTCTGGCCATTAGCTTACATTAATTTTATTGAGCTTACTGTTAAACATCTGTCGTAGGCCCCAGGTCTACATATTTTATTTGTGTATTATTGTTGAAGGATCCTCCTGCTATTGCTGAAATAATCAAATCGAATGACTAAAATCACTATGCATATTATATGTGTGGCAGTAAGTGGTCAGGAGATTGAAAATTACCAATAATAAGAAAAATCCTATAGTCGACTACGCCACCCGGAATACAGCGGGACATAACAGCCCTAAGCAAAGGGACACAGGTTCGTTGCCAAAGGCAGGGTGAGCATAATAATAATAATAATAAGTTTAAACAAAAGTCACTTTATTAACATACAATTGATAACACATACAACACTTCACACCAGGTCTCAATACATCACACGTCTTTACCAGTAACTTACAAAACAAAGTACAATACAATAAGAGAAAATAAAGAGGGAGGTGGCCAGCAAAGACCCTCAGATTTCTACCCCACACTCAATACCCATGACACACACTCGTGAAAAATCAGAAATATTAAACAGCACTCCATGTGGACACGCAGTACAAGGTACCATGGCCAACCCCTTTCTACCCCACACTCAATACCCATGACACACACACTCGTAAAAAATCAGTAATATTAAACACATGGGGACACGCGGACACGCAGTACAAGGTACCATGGCCAACCCCTCCCACCTAAATCCACGCACCAAACAATATAACAGACAGACCCAGATGAATTCCAGACAGAACAAAAGAGTAGAGCAGAGCAGAAGTGCAGTCAGTTACTTGAGGTTCGTTAGGCTTCAATTAAGATCATTAGAAACCCCTGGACGTGCAATCAATCCTGCAAGAAAACAGTACAATGCTGCAATACACATGGTCGCTGACCACACAGGATTACAGCTACTTGCGGGCCCATATCTGAAAACTGACCAACAGCCAGCACACGACAGACAGGACGATGCTAGCGCTCATTCACAGCGCCACATGTCACAAAGGGGCGGTACCAAGGATGATGCATCCCAAGCAACCAAACACTTCCCCCTTTTATATGCACAACACAGGCACTAATTGGCTCATGAAACCTACCCAACTGACCAAGCATGATAAAGTACAAACAATGAGGTTCACCTGTTTGGGTAACGCCAGCCAATCATACTGGGTCTATATACCTCACTCTGCTACATATGGTCTATACAATGTTATTCTGTAATAAAATAGACTCATGTCAATAGCTACTGAACTTTATTTGGCTCCACTCTCCAGTCAAACTTTAACTGTAGTGCCCTCACCAGGTAAGGCATCACACATCTCACCTTTTTTGCACTAATAGTTACATGGTAATAAAGCATAAGTCATTTAACAACATAAATGGGGACAGCCATTACTAACATTCAACAATAAAAGTTCCCCATATTAAAAATGTTTCTTACATGCAAATGCAGAAAGAAGATTCTTAATGTGTTAGTTTTATGCACATGAAGTTATGTTCGAACTCCTATGCACAGCAAGATTAGTTTAGAACTTCTATGAACAGTAATACTGTGTTAGAACTTCTAAGCAAATGATGAGAATGCAAGCCCATATATGCTGCAAAGCATCTTTCTCAGTCACAGACAGTTTGTGTGCTGCTCTCTATACATGTCCCGTGTATACTTCAACAGCAAGCTAAACTCCCAATCATCACCGTCACAGACACGGAATGTCCATAGTTTAATAAGGGTAGAGTAAAAATATGAAATACGAAGAAAACAGAAAACAATATGAACTGACATTCACAATGTGTACACAAAATAAATACTTCTTACAAATATTTTGCAATCTAGATCTAACAAAATTAATTGTCAGGCAAATGAAAGTGACAAGTATATCAATGGCTCTCATATGGTCCAATGAGAAAATACATCTAAGATGCACTCAAATAATACAAATTACAAATACTTCAAAATAATCAAATACAACTGAAGGTAATATGAACAATACCATTAAAACATACAGATTAAACTACAAGGATGAATGCAGATGGATACTGATTCACTGCTTCCTGACTCAGAGCAGCAGCATGGTTAGGGCTAGAAGGTATATACTGTAGCCTACAGCTGCGACTACTGAGTATATGCACATCAATATAGAGTAATTTTTGTCACACTGTACAATAATAATTCTGTTTTTGCATTATTGTAGGGGGTAGGTTTAGGGTTGGGGTAGGTGTAGACGTTAAATAAAACACAATCTAATAGCTATATCCCTTCTAGCCACAACCCAGCATCTTGGATGTAAATGAAATCAAGAAATAAAGCAAAACCGGGAGTGTGTTAATTCTTTGAAAGGGGTCTCGGAATATATCTTTCAGGAGTTAAAGGATATAAAGGCAGACATCTCTAAAATTAAAACAATGGGCGAAGATCATCAGAAACGGAAAAGTACCACAGACGGTGGAATTTGAGGCAGTATGGACTGGCTGAACAGGAAGGCGAGGATGTTAAAGCCCGGGTGATTCAAATTTGCAGCTCTGTCATCCCAGAAAATGAGGAGGCCCGTTAACAGCACATCGATGTCAGCCGCAGGCTTGGTAGGAAGAACGCGGAGAAGACTCGACCAGTTATCATCAGGTTTGTTGCCAGGTCAACAAGAGATCTCATTTGGAAGAACACTAGAGGATCGGAATATTTGAAATCTAGGAAGCTGCGGTTTGGAGAGGACCTGACAACAAAAGACAAGGAGGCTCAGAACAAATTGTGGCCCCAAATCGATGCTGCAAGTGAAGAAGAAAAAAAAGAAGAGCTTTTTATGTGGGAGCTAAAGCAATAATTTATGGAAAAGAGGCTCGAGTGTAGTGAGCAACAGCTGTTTGCTTAAGCATTTTATCTCTATTTGAGATATTCACTCACATTCTTCTAAATTACATTTATTATGTCTCACATCTCTTTGATAGATTCATTTAAATACACACTGGGTTAGTGATTTTTTTAGTTATTTGTTCATTTAGTTACGTTGTTCTTGTTCAATGTCGTTATGTTTATATTCCTATAATGTGAGGGGTATTCGTGATATGTTGAAAAGAAAAGCTTTTCAGATGCAAGGCGGACTTTTGCTTTTTTGCAAGAGACTCGTGCTTTGGAATCTGACTACAAATTTTGGAGAAATCAATGGGGAGACAATCTTTGGCTGTCCTATGCAAGCAGCAAATCTGCAGGTGTTGCGATATTAAGAGGAATGTTTAAGGGGAAAATACTTAAAAGTAATGTACACTCATCTGGGAGATGGATAATTTTGGTAGTTGAGATAGAAGATAATTTTGTTATTTTAGGAAACATTTATGGTTATATTAACAAAACTGAGAAACAAAATTTGTTGCAGTTTTGAAGAGAAGGTTTCAGAAATGTTAACATTTTCTAATGCTAATTTAGTTTTGGGTGGAGACTGGAACACTGTCAGTAATGCTTTATTGGACTGTAGGAAAATGTTGTTTTTCTTTCGTTAATGATGTATGTTTGCATCTTAATTGTCTTGATGAATGGAGGAATAGGAATCCTGATAAAGTTGAGTTTACATGGAGTAATGAGGATGGTTCTAAACAATCCAGAATTGATTTTTGGTTACTGTCTAAATAATTTGCACATAAAGTTAAGAACATTTATATAATTCCTTCCATTCTTACTGATCACAAAATTATTCATGTTGTGATTAGTTTTGATAGTTTGGCTGGAAAAAGATCAGGATTTAATTATTGGAAGTTAAATAATTCTCTCCTTGGAAATGAACAATAAAAAAAAAAAAGGTTAAATATATATTATAAAGGATTCTTATAGAAACGTAAGTGCTTCTAAAGTGTATGGGAAACACTGGGAATTTATGAAGTATTTAGTAAGGAAGTTTGGTCCCACTTTATTTTAAGTGGCCTTAACTACTAGGTACAATGCACTTATTGTGTGCATACATGTTTTTACATTGTACTTGTAATTTAAAAATGCCTGCATGTAATTACATCTGCAATTAATTTCTGTACCTACATTTATAATTAGACTGTTGACCCATCCCTTACACCTTAACCCACCCTTAAACCTACCCAAACCACCAAACCT